GCCCAGCTCTAGAAGTTTTCTCACAAATGATGTTTTGCCACACATGGTAGGCCCTGAAACAACCATCGGAAAGGGATGTTTAAGTCGCGGATCCATTATTAAAATGAAGAAACGCACACATGAGGCTGCCCCATTTATACCTTTATTTGCTATTTCGCATAATCACTCCTTAGGATTGTACATCTTTCTTCCAGCGCAATCAATCAGAGTATTAGAGAAAAGACAGYTACATAACTTCACTGGACAACAGTTTGAGGACACAGGATAAGGAAGGAGAGATAAAAGGAGAAAACCCCACATCATCATCATTGCGACTCGCGGTGAATGAAACATTTCAGCACAAGTAATTTGTAACTAGTCACGTAAACACAAGAATCAAATTTCAAGTCGGATAATGAGATCAATAAAAACAGAGACATGTCGTTATACAGACAAACATTTTTTTTTATTATCTTATTTCCAAACAAGCTACTACAACAAACAAAAAAAAAAAAAAACAACAACAAACAAATAAAGAAAAAATTGAATTACAATCTCAAAATAGTCCCCATTAATCAAAAAACTGTTCTGCGGTTAGATCCTGAAGTGAAGGCATTTTAATGTCAATAGGATCGGTGTTAGCAAAGTTAGTGTCGCTTGTCATCTGATAGTTGGAGGCCGTAATATTATAATTTGCTTTTGGTCCCTTAGAATAGTAAGGTTGATGTCGATWCTTGCTCTCACTCCTGTTCAAATTAGCGTGATGTTGATGGCGGGGTTGGTGTTGGATAGGAGCATTCATTTTTCTTCCTCTTTGACGACGAGATTCCGCTTCTTGTYTTTGGGCCCTCAACTGTTCGTTAACAATCTCCAACGATGCCTGTAAGGTCTCCCATTCGTTAAAATTTAGCGCGATTCCAAACTTGGTAGGAAAATGCTCTCCCGTTACAGGATCTGTATACAGCTTTCTTATATGGATCTTGGGCTCTCCAAGAAACTCACTTGCAAACATAAAAAACCTTTGACTTCCAAGATCTATAGGTCTTGTTGCTGACATCTTGTACTTGTMGGATCAGTTTTTATCTTTGAGCTTGCGAAAACTGSGTGTAAATGTTCTTCGTTTCTTTTTTCGTTTTATACTCAACGCMMMWTYCGCAGTTTGCAATCACRGAATCAGTTTACGAAGCATTTATTTTKTCCTGCATAATCCGATTATCACAAAGTATACTTCGACATTTGATCCAGATTTTAAAAAGTCGGGAATTTGCAGGAAAGCATTAAGTT